ATCTTATGGCATGATCAAGCAGCTGTTTCTTGAACTACACAACAGTGTAACATAGTAGCCATGATTTTTATGCTCTATTCTACGCGCCAGAAAATACCAATGTTGCCTTCTGAACAGTTGATTAAACATAATCATTAGACATCAATAATTGAATCAGTAATAACTTTTACTGCTTTCATTTAGTCGGAAAGAGGTGGGGCGACCCCGGCGTAGTGGTTAGCATCCATACCTCTCACGCCAAAGTCACGAGTTCTAATCTCAACCCCGGATAAGTCACGAATAACCCAAGAGCGTTAAAGTGACTATAATTAAAAAAAAAAAAAAAAAAAAAAAAAAAAAAAAAAAAAAAAAAAATCGGAAAGAAATCTTTAACAATGTTGTAGCTGGGAAAATTTCCAACAAGTGCAGCTATGATTAAAGCAGAGTGAAGTGGTAAAATTTGTGATAGATATGAACAAAAATGTTGGTTTTCCCATAGTTATTTCCATATAAGCAATTCAAATGGTTTGTACCAAGTCAGTTTCTTACTAAATGAGTTAAACTCATCCCCATTTGGAACCTTTTGAGAACTGTGGAGCGAAAATTTCAAATTTTGCATCAGTCAATTGTCCCCAAACAGAGATTCAAGAATCCAAATAAAAGTTTCGGGAACATTTTATCATCGGCTCATTTATTTAAACTTCAATGGTATAATTCAGGGAATTCCGAAGAAGTTCAGACAACTTAATAGAAATTCAATAAACTTCGCAGAAAATCAACGATTTTTTAGAAGTTTAGGGAATTTTGTAGAAGTGTAACGAACTTTATAGTAGTTCAACGAGCTTTGTGGAATTTTTGCGAATTATGTAGCAATTCGAAGAAAGAAATTGCATGAAATTTTGGAAAGGTGCTGGGAACTTCATAGAAGTTCAGTAAAGGTTATAGAAGTGCAGCGAACTTCGTAGGAATATCGAATTCACTCAAGAAATATCGTAGAAAATGCTAAATTCTTGGTACTTTGTTTTGGGAGCTTCCTGGAAGTTTTAGGAACTTCGTTTTGCCTAAATGTTCAGGAAAATTCATAGAAAAAATTCAGAGCTTTCCCGGAAGTTTGAGGAAGTTCATAGATAGTCTAAGATCTTGGTCGAATTAATAATAATCATGGAACTTGGAAGAAGCTCAGCGAAAAGAGGTACAGCAAATTCGTACAAGTTCACAAAACTTGGTAGAAAATCAGTTTTAGTTTGTTAGTTGTATAAGCTATGGAAAATTCTTAGAAGTTTAGGGAACTTTGTTGAAATTGACGGAACTTTCTGGCTCACGAAACGTTCCACAAGTTTTGAGAATTTCATAACGTTAAATGAGCTCAGTTGGTTTGAGTTCATGCAAGTGTGTTTAAGTTTTAGGATGTGAATGTACATAAATCTTCGATAACTTTGATAATATTTACGAATAAATCTTATTGAATCTATAAAGTTCTCGGGAATTTTTTTCAAGACATCACATTCGGCAAATATTATGGCAGCCCTACTTTTGCTCAATAAAACAGAGGAAATTATCCTTCATAAGTAAAAAGAATCTCCTTAAAATAGATCGGATTGCTCCTTAAATGATTGATCAAAATACGTTAAAAATCTTAAAATGCTCAGTAAATATTTAAAGTACGCTCCCTAAAATGGAGAAAACTGTACATTAAGGATTTGAAAATGCTCCTTAGTATGCACCGCTTTGCACCATTTTGAAGTGTAATTGTACCATATATCCTCGGAAAAGCTGCTGTAGAAAGGTTAATAAGTACCATGAAATCAGCTGAAATGTTCAGTAAATCATTGTGTGCATTTGTGCATTTTTACTGAAAATTTCAGCTGGTTTCATGGCAACCTTTCTACAGTAGCTTTTCCGATGATATATGGTACAATTACACTTCAAAATGGTGCAAAGCGGTGCATACTAAGGAGCATTTTCAAATCGTTAATGTACAGTTTTCTCCATTTTAGGGAGCGTACTTTAAATATTTACTGAGCATTTTAAGATTTTTAACGTATTTTGATCAATCATTTAAGGAGCAACCCGATCTATTTTAAGGAGATCTTTTTTACTTATTAAGAAACATCGTCATTGTTTAATGATTCATTTACCTTTTTACCAAATATTATTCTGATCATCTTCAACTGTTCAAAAAGTTTAAATGGCGTCTTGAGGTATTCTTCTTAGATTCCTGGTTGATCAGATATAATCATGTGAATTATCTGAAAGACCTCCAGATGATCTTAAATTAAAAAAAAATGTTCTGGTTCATTTTTCAAAACTTCGGGTTGATCAAGATGAAGTTCGGAGCACAGGATGGTAAGTGAAATTCCTGGTCTATAACTAAAAGAAATAGTGTTTTAGAAAATAATTGAATTATTTTCTATTAAATATTAAGGTGATTTTATGTTGCGTCATTTTTCTCATACAACTTTGCAATATTACAAGCCAAAATATTAAGGTTTTTGTGAAACCAATACTAGTTGTTTTTTTGCGGGTGAGTAAGTAATGTCTGAAATTTACAGATCTACCTCTTGAATTGCATGTTCTTAATATTACTAGATGTGTTATGGAAAAGGACTCTCAAAGGAAACATCTTCTATCAATTTATTTGTAAATTCGTTTATATTTTCTGCATTTTTTATTATTTGAAATTCTATCCGATTTAGCCTTGTTATTTAAACATAATGTTGATCATATACTGATTTTTAAATCAGATAAATTTTAAATATATTATAAACAACGCTGGTCGGTCAACATTCATAGTACCAAGGCTGCAAAACTGCGTGTCGAAATTTTGAGCAGGCTCACTTCTCGGTAACAGGTCTGGTTTACTCAGGTCGGTAACAGGTTTTACTCTGAGAGTAATGTCTGAAGTTTGATTCTGTTTGATTGTATTTACATACACAGATTTATGTAAATTTTTAAAAGTTCTCTAAAATCACGAAGTGAAGCCAATATTAAAGATTTAAAATACATATAAATTGGAGCCACAATGAGGGCATTCATGGACCACTAAAGGCTCTTAAGTAGAATCAGAAGGTATTACGACATTCACTCTTTCCTTAAAGTATTATTTTTTAACTGTTTCTATGAAAGTTGTAAAACAATTGCAAAACATTGTATTTTGAAAGAAAGAGCATTTTAACCGATTTTGAATGAATCAAGAAAAAAATTTCACTCAAATGAGACGAAAAATAGCCATGGTTGGAAGCAAAAAAATAGTTTAACATGTGTTGATTCTACCAAGAAGATGACTGCACATATGATCAGAATTAACAGCAGTAGAGCGAATCTGAGCAAGAAACTGAAAGAATATGCAAAACGTTCTCACCGAGTGCAAACTTGAAAATGATAGATTAAAGACTGACCGATTAAGGTATGAAATCAGCGAGAAATTAGTTTGGGCTTAGATCCCCCCGTTTGGATTGATTTTATCTGCTGCAACATAGCCAAAATAGTTTAAAGCTAGGAAGAAAGTGATTGGTGCTCTCCACTAAGCGACCGCTTAACTATTACAAATAAATGTACTTGAAAACGACTCAGTAATTAGTCACGGTATGCTCAGTTGTCAATTTCAATTATCAATTATCATCACCGAATTCAATTGATTCGAGAAAAAAATTAAAATGATATAAATAGGCAATACGTCTACTAAACACTTCAGATAAATTTTGTTCATCTTGCAGTAAATTGTTTAGTTGTTTGGAAGTTTTAGCTTCAAATAAATTAGCAGTTTTGACTGATTTTAAAAATAAACGATGATATACGTTTCGTTAAAACATTTACCATTATAACCGATGTACAATTCAGAAGTTATATAAATTATAGCATCAATATTATTTCCCTGGTAATTTTATCAAATTACCTACTTTTTCCCGGTTTTTCCTGGTGAAAATGAAATCCCGACTTTTTCCAGAATTTCTCTCCTGTTCTCTGATTATGTTTTTGATCAGTATTCTATAAATAATGCTTATAGTCGTTTATGTCGCCGAATAAGTGGGAAAAATACAATCAGAATTGTTCAAAATTTTCGGCATTTTCAATAAAATTCAAAACAATTTGCCTTAATTTTTATACTTTTCATTATTACATCATTTAACGCAAAAAATGTTTCATATTCAATACGGATGCTACTTTTGTCATTTGCCGCTATGATACAGTTTTTAGACACATTTATAACTTTTTATATAAATTTTCGTAACTTTTTTTTTAATTTCATTGGTTTAAGAAAAATAACTCATTTTTCATGTTAGTTAAGAGTATTCAATGGGAAATTCATGAATTAATACTGTTCAATAAATTTAGATCGATATTATAAATTTCGTTATCAATTTTACAAAAACAGAAATACATTTCGTTCAATGATTTACGATTATTTAACGATTCATCTAAATTTAAAATGCGCTGCTAAAATATGCACTGCCAAATTATGCCATTATAATTAGAAGCTATTCTAAAAAAATACGACGCCATGCCCAGTATTATTTCGGTGATTGTAGCGATAGATTGTGACATAGTCACAAGAACCCTTTTCCACTGAATGAGTAATTCCTTTTAAAGATAAAGCATTCGCCACTCATCTACGAATGACCATGCGTCAACACAAAAGATTAACGTTCCACCCTTTTATCAATGCTACTGCAGCAACCATGACTCATCCTCAAGAATTTTCATGTCACTAGAACAACGACATCTTGTGTGAGACCGCTTCCAGACTGTTCCACTGGCTTTCAGCACAGACGGAAAGAACACACCCCGATTTCCGGTCATCGCGATCACATCGTAAATTTCATCCCTGCCCCACATCGATCGATATGCATATCCCCAGATGCACTCACTGCGCTGTGCACGATCACTTCTTGGCTCTGCTCTTCAGTATTTATCGATCGAGTTCGTTGAGGGGGCCCTCAACGGAAGAAAATCAACACCGTGTACATGGTTAATGGAACAGAGGTGGAGAAAAACTTTAAAAATCAATCATTATGACTCACCATATGTAATTTCTCCTGATTGCCGGGGGCTTAAACACGCTGCACACTGTGGTAAAACAACAGCTCACTTTTCACTCTCTGCTTTATATTTTGTCACACGATGGTGAAAATTGTAACCGAACTCCACACGGCTTTATGCTTACAACCGACACAACGCACTGCTCTCGCAACTGACTCGAATGCTACTAAAAGGAATCGACGAGAAGCCGGACAGCCCCGATGATACGTTTTTCCTTTGTTATATTTTTTTATATTTGCGCTGCTGCACACACTGTACACTAGCGAGCGACTCTCTTCGGCAGTTGTTATACTACACACTCGCACACACTTTGTGATGGTCGTCGTCGTCTCCGTCGCGTTTTTTCTTCTTTATTATTTTTTTCGCTGTAGGTTGGCGTGGCCCCACCAGAATATATGGGTGCAAAATGTAATATTATTACTCTTCAAATCGAACAACTACGAACACGGGCACAGAAGGAGCGCGCGCGATCGCAAGGATGGACGATGGTCAGGCAAAAAAAAACGGCAAAGAAAAGAGACTCTGCTGAAGAAGAGAGAACGAACCGGTCAAATAATTAACCAACAGGAATTAAAGGAAAAGACAAGGCAAAATGGACAAAACTTGATCGCTTCGATCTTCTTCTTAGTTTCAATGAGCACTGGGTAATTTTCTTTTCATGTATTTTTAAAAAGAAATCGGTTCAGAACACTTGCACTCTTGCAAACACCGAAAAAAGGGTGTCCTTCCTAATTCAAATCACAGAATATCCCAATTGTTCTAGAAACCTGCATTCTATTGTTCAGGCTGGAAAACAACGTATGCACTCTAAAAAAAACATCCCATCAAAGCAAGCTAATTTGCACGAAATAAAAAAAACTAATCTAGCAGCTTCCTACAACTGGAATCGAACGTTCTACCATCAGAACCTTTATCAACTCACTCAACAAGGAATCTGCAACGATCCAAGCACTCTCTGGAGCTACGGAAAAATATATTAACGCCTAACAACGCCTACAGTACAACAGACACACGGGATATACAACAAGGTGAGCTAATGGACGATTTGAGCCTCTGGCTTTTCCACGCTGAACTGAACGCTACGAAAATTCAAAGTGAAATGATTGATTTGAATTGAAAACCGAAGCGTTGTCGCATCTAGGTATGGTAGATTGTTGCTCCTCGCACAGTGCCGCATACAACCAGAGCAAGGAACATTGCGCTTTCCCCTTGGCCCGCCCGTTTGATCAACCATGCTTCTGCCTATCAAACCCACAGCATGCACCACGCACCAACACACAACTTTACGATCATCGTCTGGCCCGGGGTGCATAGTCTTGGTGTGGCTTTTTGAGCCTCACCAACATCAACAAGCGATGGCGGTTGCGATGCACCGAAATCGAAAAACTGTTTTAATACTAAACCAACTCATTTCAGAATAAATTAACCAACAATGGACAGTTCTCCTGCACGAATCCGGACATGGTAAATTTACTTATTTTTATCGAAAAATAAAGCAACCATTCTTAAAAATATGTTATTTTTCGACAGACTCATCAAATTGCAGCGATAGCAAAAAGAAGTTTGCTTTTGATCGTGTTGGTTACCTATACAGAGTTTGGGTGTAACTTCCCCTCCAACATACAAACATGCGGACGGTTGTTCGGCACACTGTTGCAACTATTTTATACAGCATACATGCTTGGGCATAGAAGCTCTATAATTATAGCATGATTTTATATCAAGCAATTCAAAATGATTATAGCATTTATTAAGCGACCAGGGAAAGAAGAAGGGTGCGTTCACAACTTCAGCATTGAATACGACTGTTGATGTGCAAATGTGCGAAAGTTGGCTGAGGAATGAAATCAATATCAGCAACTTTCAAAATAAGAAGACGCATGGTACTTTACGAGTGTTCCCCATAGGGTGGTGATTCATGTATGATATGATGATGTATGATAATTGCCTACCAGTCATTGTAGCACGGAAACTAAGTCCGATAAGAGCTTAATAACCTCTGATTGTCCTCAACATGTCACTGTATGAAGGGCCAAAAACGGGTTTGGTGGATGGATAGGTAAATTCACCTATACGCCTCCACGGGATGGTAGAGAATCTCCAACCAGCCACATGATCATACAATTGGTCAAAAAACGAGCCGTCCGACAGAAGGATACCCCAATGAGTGTGGAGAAGAGCCCGCCCTTTTTCCATGAGATGTTAACACCAGGGAGTTGACAATTTCACTCTCCCCATCCAAATCGCTTCAATCGGGTGCCCAGATGGCCCGTCCCAATCCCAGCATTGTTTGGTTTATATGAGCAATAATAAAAATTAAAAATTTAAAACTATCTCACAACTTTCGCTGTTTCTTCACCCTTCTGTCCAATTTTCGTGCCTATTTGTGAACTCGTTGTCCTTCTCTGCATCACTGCAAGTCGCTACTAGTCTCCCGAAAGTCTCCCATGTTATTTCTGATGAGTTCTACGATATTTCGACGTCCATTATTTTTGTATGATGATCTTGAGTTCCTAGTTGCGTCTTATAAAACCGCAATACCAAGGCGAGAAATGATAATTTTCCACGGGCCAACCTCTAGATTTGTGCCTTTAAGTGAGAAAACCATTCTCTGAAAGTTTCAGCTCATTTGGTTGTAGGATGAGCTAGCGCTTTTAGTTTGAATTTTGTATATGAAAATTTCAACCTAATCTCCTATCTATATGAACATTAAACCAAAAGCGCCAACCCGTGTAACGTCAAAAATAGTTCAAACAGTCAGTGAGTGGTTATCATACACGAGTCTGTATGTTGGCCTATGGAAAATATGAACTTTTATTATTTTAGTGATAATCTAGTTGATAACTTGGATAAGCTGCCTGTATTTTGCTGCAATATATGAACAAAATGCACATATAAATTCAAGAATGAATTTCTCCATAAAACTAACTCGAATCATGATGATGTCTTGAACAAAGTTGTTTCTCATCGATTAAGCTACATGTGCTGAAATTCTGAGCTTAAAAGAGTTTGCTGAACCAATTTTATGCACGAAAGAGTGAAGGGATGTTAATTCTCCATACATTTTAAAAAAATCCCCATATAAACTTAAAGCCAAAAGCGCCAACTCGTGAAAAAGCTGAAATTTGTAGAGAGTGGTTTTCTCACCTAATGACACAAATCTGGGGGTTGATAAAAACGATAAAAAAAAATTTCCCAAATAAATGTGGGCCAGTCTAATATACAGTGTCTTCGGGTATTTTCTTAACGAGCATCACTCCATTGTCGTATCGTATGTGCTCTATTTTGCAGCTCTTCTTTCACTTTTACTTTGTTGACTTCTTGGTACCGGAAAGATATAGATATATACATTATTAGCAATAATGTGATATAACCACAACAGGATGGCCGTTCAGAATGATTCAATGGATGTGAAATGAGAGAACATTTAAATTTAACACGATTTAAACTATTTCAATGCAACATTACATTTTTTCACTAACAATTAACACAATTTTCAATATGTTATTTTAACTAATTGCTGGAAGAATTAACTTGTGTTTTATACAATTAGTATCAATGTTCCGTCATATCGCATCTTCAAGTGATCTTCGCAAACGGCACATTTTGTTCAGGCTCTTTGGAACTACATGTGATGTAATATGAAACGCATCTTTTAAAGTGAATTACACATAACAATGTTACCGTAATTATTTTTGATAGCCAGGAAATTAATGTGTTTTCTAGTTTTTTTATTGGGAAGGCTCAATTGCATTAGCTTTAAGGAGCCGATAATTCATTGTTCATTGTTTGTAGCAATATTCAGACACATTCTATGTCTAGTAGGAGTTGAGCCGATTACTCACGACTTACCCGAGATTAGAGAGGTACATTTTCGAAGGATAGGATCAGGGGAGGAGCTTGGGAGTGGGGTTTAGTTGTCTCATCAGAGCGTTGGCCCCAGTATGAACGGTAGTGCGGTTCTAGATTCGTCTGGAGTTCGACCTGCCATGGTGACCATGGTATGCACAAGTGTCGCATTGTATATCGATTTTTCACGGTGAAGAGAGAGATTACCACTAGTGTACAGTTTTATGGATCGTTGCAAGATTATTGATTCCGATCTTAGATATTTCAAACCGATACTGGAATTGTTGGAGTTCAGCATGGATATTGTAGACAGAAATACAACAAACTGCTCGATCCTATCTAAAGATATGGAGACAGGGACAACCGTTGGTACCGAGGAGCTCATGGAGATCCAACTTTTGAGTGATTCTGTTTCAGAGTTTCAATCTTATTCCTCTTCAATCCTTGATACACCAAACCGAGATGATTCGAAAGAGACGGTAGCGATGGTGATGATGATGATGATGACGATGGAATAAATGTCACCATCAAGCCGATTACCGTCAGTGGAACTGCAAGTAACTTTTCCACTGTAAATGCGTTGAAAATCATGTGGCGCAAAAAGTATTTCGAAAGCCAAAAAAGAATAAAATTAAGTAATTTTTAGAATCTGGAATGAGTATGGAGGAAGCTCGAAAGCAAGTATTTGCTAATACTGATCCTGGGACCCAGCAAAACGATCAAGAGATGGCGATCAAGGTAGCAGTTGCGAAAAACCAAACGTTAAAAGGACTAAGTCAAATCTTTGTCCTAAAACGCGTACTGGGTTATCAAATATTGGCGATCAGACTAAATCCAAGGAGGAGGCAGACCAGAGAAAAGGAAAGGAATATCCCCCAAAGGCCCGTCAGCTGATTCTGACTCAGGTGATCGCTCCTACAAGGATATTGCTAGTCTTATAAAGATTGGCATAATTGTAAAAGATTATTCCCTGCAGAAAATGTTCACGGTACAACTTGATGCTATACAAAATGTTCTGCTCTTCAAAATCGAAGAGCAAAGGCATGAGGTAATAAAACCGAAATTCAGCTAATGAAGCTGCAAGCATGGTTATTTTTCCTTAGTTTGTAAGGATCTAGCAACAGTGACGTGGCTAAAGGAAGTGACGAAGGTTCTTACCCCTTGGGAAAATGCAGAACTTTTTGCCCTGGACGAGAAGGAGGTCCCTTGTGTGGATTTGTTCCACGCATTCTTCCCCCTAAATGCCGAATTCAGCGATGAGAGGCTTAAGGGACTCATCGAGAGTCAAAATGACGACTTAAGCACGAAAGGATGGAACATACTGAATCGTTCTAACCAGGGTTACTTCCACTCAGTTCGCAATCAAAAATGTTTTTCGGAATTATGGAATCATTAAATGCTATAAGGATATTTTGTACTTGTCAGATACAAGAAGAGGTTGGAAAGTATGTATTTGTCACATAAAACCTGTAAATTAAGCTTCTAGTGCGTCACAAGCAGCGAATTTGAAGCGTTCACTCAGAGTGAGCGCTCACGAATCGTATAATTGCTGATTGTGACGCAATGAAAGCAATAATGACAGGTTTTCTGTGTCAAACACATAGGTTAAAACCTCTTCTTGTAACTTAAAAGTACTAATTATCATTATAAAATCTAATGATTTCATAATTCCGAAAAAAAAAATCATTGTATAGCAAGTGAGTGGAAGCAACTATAGGTTCCAACGTAAGTAAATATGCCGAATGGACACTAAAAGTGGATTCAAGCTCGCTTAAGACACTAGCGGAACGTAAAAAATGATACCCATTAAGCTGGGTTTAGACTAGGCAAGTCAAATGATCAACTCAGTTCAATTCAATTGGTTTGAAAAGTTGGGCCTGCTTCAACTTTTTTTCAATTCAAGTGAGTTGATCAAGTCAGTTGAATGGCATGGTTTACACGTTCAATTCGCGTTCAAGTCAGTTGAATTCAACTAACTTGATCAATTGACTTGCCCTGTCTAAACCCAGCTTTAAGCTCCTGCAAGTCAACCATCACAATGCAAAAGGTGCTTCAGCTGTATTGAGTCGGAGGTTCAAAAATGAGGAGCTGGACATGGCACTCATTCAAGAGCCATGGTCCAATAGAGGAAAATATACGGTATCGACATAAAAGCATGTAAGTTATACTATGATGAAAAGAAAAGTTCACCCAGAACTACTATTATAGTTAGTAAAACATTGAAATGCTACCTTATTTCAGAATTCATCA